AATGTTAGAAGGGAAAAATGGAACTGATAGACTTTCCTCTAAATTATTTTGACACTTGCCTCTAAATAATCTCTTCTTAATTCCTTTATTGTTATAATAATATTATTTTTTTAGATACAAGAGTCTCACTTTGTCACCTCAGTGGAGTGCCATGGTGTCACAGCTCACAGCAACCTCAAACTCTTGGGCTCAAGTGATTCTTTTACCTCAGCCTCCCAAGTAGCTGTGACTACAGGCACCCACCACAACACCCAGCTGTTTTCTGTTGCAGTTGTCATTGTTTAGCCGGCCCAGGCTGAGGTCGAACCCACCAGCCTCAGTGTATGTGGTTAGCACCATAACCACTGTGCTACAGGTCCCGAACCAGACAAAAAATTGTTTTATAAACAATTATTACATATCACAAAATTGTATACTCTCAGTATTTTCCTATAAATATATTAATCTTCTTGCTAAAAACTTCCCAGTAAATGAAAAAAAAATTATTTCCTATAGTTACAGAAAGTAAAATATTTTTACATACATCTTTTTTCATTTTATAACATTTCCCAAACTATGCTCTGTGAAAATGAGATGTTCTTTAATGTACAACAAAAGAAATGAAAGAGGAGGCAGAAGGAAAGGGAAAGAAAGAGAAGAATAGGAAAAGAAAAGTAGCATAGTAAAATCTTACTCTTAGGAGATTACAATGCACAGTGCATTTTAAAAGTTCTGCAGTGAGAGATCCAGTTCACTTCTATTAAACCTACATTTTCCAGATTTTTATTAGAGACAAAACAGATCGTTAAGTCACACCTCTTAAACTCATGAATTTGTTAAAGACTGCTTGGATTTATACCAGATAACATAAATCAGATAACTTCAATATTAGCCCAAGGGACAAGATTAACATACAAACAAAGAATAATTGATTATCTGAATAAAACATTGTTTCATACTTCCAGCATGTCAAGGCAAGACCTTTAAAACAAGAAAGGAGGAAGAAAAGGGTAGTAATAAGAAGAAAGGAAGGAAAAAACAACTTGGGAAGTTCTTTAACTTCCCTTTTGTAAGATGTCTCTGTCCTGCCCTATCAATTTTGACTGCTTATTAAGCAAAACATTTCCACTTAAGATAGTAAAAATGTTCAGCTTGGTACACTTCCCGTCCTCTTCAGCTTACTTTTTACATTTATTCCTAGCCTAGGGGATATTCTCAAAAAGAGAAATCTGTCTCAAAAGTATTCTAAGTACCTCAAGTATAAAATTTCACATTGCCATAGCAAACCATACACCCCAAACATTTAAATACTAAACAATTTTAACATGATGGTATTTGCAATTTATTTTACTCAAAGCAATGATGTAGTATAACAATAATAAAAATCTGGACTCTGCACAGTATTTCCCATTTGAGGGAAAATCACAGGAAAAATGCTGTTTTAAATATAAAAGAATAATTTTAAATATCCAATGGACATTTAAATAGTGAGGGCAAAGAAAAATCCAACAGAAAATAGCTTTAACAGAAAAGTAAAGGCATACAGAAATAAAAACACGTTTTTCACTGAGACACAGTCACCTTTGAACCGAAAAAGGAATCATTACTGATTATTAATACTGTCCCCAACATAATGTAAACCAATCAGGGAAATCACTCACTCAGGTAGTAGACAACAGCTATTTCTTGGAGAGGTTAATCCCAAAAGGCAAATTATTAGGACTTACTTATTTTCCTTTTCATTTAAGGAAGAACTAACTACACCTTCCTTCCTAGTTACTATTCATTCTTTCTCTTAGCAAAAGAAGGGGGAAGTGCTGGACAATTAAGCTCTCAAAACCTTATTGGCCATTTATCCTACAATCAAGAAAAGAGTAAGACAAACAAGGGCAGCAGAGCTTTTACACTCGGTTGATAATCTTTCAGTTTGATACACTACTAAACTGCCACTATGACATGCGGCAAGATGGGCTGGCTAAAAAACAAGCCAGACGCAAAAAATATTTTTTAGGAAAGTATTATTTGAAAGCCATAAGGCTAGAATAAGCTAAAGCCAGATAGAATAAAATTCAGCCTTGATTACTGATCATAACCTTAATATGTGAATTTTTTAATTCAGAGGCATGGCAGGAGTTATGAAATCAGATAAGGGACCAAATTAGCTCCCAGTATAGTCTTTTCTTAGTGAAGTTATTATAATCTAAGGTCTGATGATCATCAGTGGTACAGGTCTAGAAACTGAACATTAGTAACTTAAACAACGATCAGCTGGTCTTAGTAACTAATACACACTCAGAAGTGACCAATGCAAAAACTATCAAACTATATTAATTTACCATGAGGATATCCTTACCATAAATAGAAAACCTGCCCTTTATTCAGAGTACTCATACTATTTCTCAGCATGGGCACTATCTGGCTGGGTTAAATTGGTACTTAGTTGAATACAGTAATGTGAAGTAGATCATCTTGTGAGGTATTTCTTCCTGGCCTGATGAACACTTCTGCACCATAGCAACGAATACGTGTATAGTGACTACACTGCATGTTTCCCAGATTCTCCATCTCTCTTGATTCAAAATTTACCTCCATCATTCTTTTTTCATGGCTCATCATTGCATTTTCTTTAGATATGTTAGTCCCACAAGTTATACTAAGTTGCTGCTCCTAGGAGCCTAAATATTAAACATCTTTCTACTACATCTTGCCTAACTATGAGAAGGCAAATTCATTTCCCTATTATTTAAGTTCTTTTTTTTTTTTTTTTTTTTTTTTTTCAGAGTCTGTCTCACTATGTTGCCCTCAGTAGAGTACCCTGGCATCACAGCTCACAGCAAACCTCAAACTCTTGGACTTAAACAATTCCCTTGCCTCAGCCTCCCAAGTAGCTGGGTCTACAGGTGCCCCCAACAACACCCGGCTATTTCTGTTGCTGCTATTGTTGTTGCAGCTGCCATCGTTGTTTAGCTGGCCCAGGCAGAGGTCGAACCCACCAGCCTGGGATTATGTGGCCAGTGCCCTACCCACTGAGCTATGGACACCACTCTATTTAAGTTCTTAATCAGTACCTCTAATACCTCCATGCATCACCTATAATTTTAATAGAAACTACAGAATAGTAGGGTTTTTTTTGCAGTTTTTATAGATATTAAAGTTTAATTTTGAACACAATATAAACACTACCAAACTCTAACTGAACACAACTCAATACTGCAAAACGTAAGTATACTGTGGTTACAAACAAGTTACTAAATATTAACTGCTTACTGAAACAATCTATGACTGGCTTATAAAAGGGGACAGGTAGTCTTGATCTTTTATGAAAGGATTCTATATCTCCATGTTGCTTTTTAAAAGTGCCTTCCTGACTGGGTGTGGTGGCTCACCTGTAATCCCAGCACTTGGAAGACAAGCTGGGTAGATTGCCTGAGCTCACAGGTTCGAGACCAGCCTGAGCCAGAGAGAGACCTCATCTCTAAAAAAATAACTAGGCGTTGTGGTAGGTGCCTGTAGTCCCAGCTACTTGGGAGGCTGAGGCAAGAGGATCACTTGGACCCAAGAGTTTGAGGTTGCTGTGAGCTAAGACGACACGGTATTCTACCAACGGTGACCAAGTGAAACTCTATCTTAAAAAAAAAAATTACTTTCCTATCCATTTTAACATTTAACTCTCATGAACACTAAAAATTTAAATGGAAAGTTCTCAGGAAAGACATTTATGAAATACTGTAAAAGAAATAACCAAGACTTTTTCTTTTCTAAGAGATAAGGCCTCAGGTCAGGCACAGTGGTTCATGTCTATTATCTCAGCACTTTCAGAGGCCAATGCAGGAAGATTACTTAAGGCCAGGAGTTCAAAACCAGCCTGGGCAATATAGTGAGACCTTGTCTCTTTGCACAAAAGATAAAAAATTAGCTGGGCATACTAGTTCACACCTGTAGTCCCAGTTACTCAGGGGGCTGAGATAGGAAGATCACTTGTTGCCAGGAAATCAGGCTACAGAGCAAGGCCCTGTCTCTTTACAAAAAAAAAAAGTTAAAAAGAATGAGCTCTTGCTATGTTGCCAGGTTGGCCTCAAATTTTGGATACAGATGATCTACACATCTCAGCCTCCCAAATAGCTAGGACTTATAGGTATGTGCCACCATGCCTGGCTCAGAATTTAAACTTTGAAAGTCATTACATTTCCTACTGACAATTTAGTTAATTTATTCATAAATACATATTTTTTGCTGTGAAAACAGAAAGTATATTAAGACTTCTTGTACAGCACACACAAATTACTTCTCTATAAAATATACCATGTATTCTTAGGTCATAGGTGTATTTTTTTTTTTTTGCAGTTTTTGGCCGGGGTTGGGCTCAAACCCGCTACCTCCTGCATATGGGGCCAGTGCCCTACTCCTTTGAGTCACAGGCACCACCTAGGTCATTAAGTGTATTTTAAAAGCAATATTTAATTCAGTCTTGAGAAATACATTGTTCTCAACTGAATGATAATTATACTTAGAAAATTATGCAAAATAATAAAACTGATTAATTTAGACTTTGGTATACCTAGTTCTTTTCTATATCCCTTGTATCAAATACTTCAGGTGCTCGGTACATGCACGCCCCATTAAAAACTGCTCTACATAAAAATACACAGTATTAGTCATCTACACCTTAGCATGAATAAGTTTTACTGAATAAATCCAACCAAAGATTTTAAGTCTTAATCCTCAACTGTGAAATAAAAACCAAAAATCATACTGTAATAGAAATGGAATCTAGGCATTAACCCTGTGTGAGGAATTTTATTGAGTCCAAAAAATCACATCACATAAGTACGTGATTATGTATAAGGTTAATTCTTATCAAATTAGGTTTATCCTATGAAAGGCCATAAGGCACATTAAGGAAAAAAAGGAGTTACAGAGCACCACAAGAAGATTTTTCTGTGGCTTAAAAATCTTTTCTAAATCAAAATTCAAGAATATAAACATTAATATTTGAAACAGAAAATCAAAAGCATTCTTACCTTACTACATCATCAATATTGTTCCTGTATACGCCTTCAAGTCTTTCTGCAGGAAATCCCATAGCAATAATGTTTGGATAAATATCTGAGTACTTAAATTAAGGAAAGAGGCAAGAATGCACATATTTAAAATTATTACCTAATTATAAAAAGAAAGCATTCCCTACTTACAGGTACAACAATTAAAAGCCATCAATGTATTTTATCTGTAACCCTTTATGGGCAATTAAGAAATAGTGACAAATACGTTAATTCCAAAAGAGAACCTCAAAACTTTTAAAACAATTAGACGGCAAAATAATTTTCAAACCCCTGTACTTGGTACATTAAACATGAACATAAGGCAAAAGGTAACCTGAATATTTACAGTATTTAGGTACAGAAGAAAAACAAAAACCAAGGGCTTTGAAATCACAGAACAAAAGTATTCTGGAACAAAAGCAAAAATTCAAAAACAAAACAAAAAAATCTGCACCTCCCTAAAATGACTTAACAGTTCAATTTCTATTTTTTTACGGCCAAAGAAGACACCACAGTGTAGTAAAATAGTAGATAGAATGAGACTCAGAAAGTCAGATTTAAGAGCTGGCTGTGCCTCTAACCTGTTGTATATGGGTCATCTTGAAGTTTTGAGATACACAAATCAAGAAACATAATAGCCATGCAGATGGAAACAAATGAAGCTCTCCTTGCAACACCAATAAGGCAAGCAAGTTGAAACTTGCATTGATGAATCAGAAAGGACACTATCAACCAAGTTTCTTGGAAGTGAAATAATGCACCGTAACACAGTCTGCCTCAAACTTTTCTTAGTGACCCATGTAATCTGGAGAAGATACCTACTTAACATTTCTAGACCTCAGTTCTCTATTGTGCATGATGATTAAGTTCAAACAAATAACCAACCACTAAGGTCTACTCCATTTCTTGCTATCTATGACTTGATAATACTGAAATGAGATAGGAATTTTATTATTCCCTCTTCCAATCAATGCACAGTTGACCCTTGCAGGATATGAGTTTAAACTGTGCATCTTCACTTCAGTATGGACTTTCTTCTACTTCTGTCTTCTGAGACAGCAAAACCAACCCATTTTCTTCCTCAGCTTACTCACCATGAAGATGATGATGATGAAGACTTTTATGATAATCCACTTTAATTTAATGAACAGTAAATACATTTCTCTTCTTTATAATTTTCTAAAGAACATTTTTTCTTTACCTACTTTAGTAATATGCTATATAATACATACACAAAATATGTGTTATAAATGACACATATTCTTGGCAAGGTTTCAGTCAACAGTAGCTGTTTGGTAAAACTTTAAATTGAGGGAATCAAAAGTCATACCTGAATGTAGGCAGGGGTTGGTACCCCTAACCCCCAAGTTGTGCGTTACATTCAATTATGTTCCAGACTATAGTTGCATAAAAACAAACCTCAACACTCAAGAACTTATGTCCAACTATAAAAATCACCAACAATCTATGTTTTTATGATTCTTGCCCATCCATCACACCAGTTCTCTTTTTGTCTTGAGCTCTATCAATCCTCTCTAATCTCACGACTTTCTGACAGACCTTTCATGTGGGTCCAGCTAATCTGCCTAAAGCCACCCTTTAAGATTATAAAGTCTGTTCATCCACTTCTGAACCCATTTATCTTCCAAATACAATTCAAAATGCATCTAATCCAGTGCCCTTTTCAGATTATTTTTCTTTCTACAATCTTCAGATTGAGCTGACTTCAGTAATATTTTCAATCCAAAAATAGTTATCAAATTGCTGAAAGCTTTTGATACTTTAGTTTTTTCAAAAGGTTATTATAAACTGTATGTTCTATCTATAAGATAACTATGTACTGACCAGACAGATCTATGGAATATTTTAAGAAAGAAACTCTGCCCAACATTGTATACAGAGTATATCTTTTGTAAAGGGATGGGAGAAAGGGTATTTACACATATATTTGCTTTAATTTGAGCACCTACCCTCTATATACACATAACACAAATGATGAGAAACTAGTAAAAATATTAAACTATTTTCAATCATTTTACTGGTTTTAGTAATATATTTATATACATATATATATACTTGGAGACAAGAGTCTCAAGCTGTTGCCCTCAGTAGCTGTCGTGGAATCACAGTTCACAGCAACCTCAGACTCTTTGGCTTAAGCAATTCTCTTGCCTCAGCCTTCCAAGTAGCTAGGACTATAGGCACCCTCCACAATGCCCGGCTATTTTTTATTGTTGTTGTTGCAGTTGTCATTGTTTTAGCTGGAGGTTTAAACCCACCAGCCCCAGTGTATGTGGCCGGTGCCCTACCCACTGAGCTACCGGCACCGCCCTGGTTTTAGTAATACTATTGATATTCTCTAATTATTTTCTTTATAAGAATGAGCAATGAAGTTATGGTAATAATTTTAAGATTCATGATTATTAGTGTTAGAAAAGAGATAACATTGTAAAATCAAGAAATCAAGTAAAAAATTAATCTAAAGTATCAATGTATGTTTGTAAAAAGCCTGTATTTTTCACGTCTTTTCACTGAAATGGCCTAGAAACATCACCCTAACAGTAGGAAACACTCCCAGAACACAAATTTTTGTCTGTAATATAGTACACTAAAACGTACCAAACTTCTTAGAAAAAAAGAGTTGATGCCAGGTCTGAGGAAGGGAAAGCACAGGTAAATCTGGGATGCTTTTTTTGGTGCCAGACAACAAAAAAAGCTTACAAGGATTAATGGTCTATGTCAAATAGACAGAGGAGCTGGCACAAAGGTCCTAATGACTAGGTGTGATGACCTAAGCATCAAAGACAAATTTTAAATGATAAAATAAATTTTTAAACCCTGAATAAAACAAAAAAACCCTGCATCTATAAAGACACTCAAAAGAAAAAAAAATATCTTATTCATTTATCACCTTAGGTCTTCAATTTGAAAAATGGTAGAAGGAGATTCAAATATTCATCTTGCTTTCCCTGTAGTAACTACACTTAGGGTAACCAAACAGGCCCACTTAACAGGCTCAGCTCTACAGAAAATACCAGTTAATAAATGTGAAAGGATAGAATGAGAAAAGTCCTATTTTATAAGCCTAATGAAATTAACTGATATATGCAAAGATCAACTTATGGTGCTAAACCAGTAAGTAAACGGCTGACAAGAAACTGAACTTTTTAATAGATCCAAAACATTACACAAAATATTTTGTAATGTAAGGCGCCAGCCACGTACACCTAAGGTGGCGGGTTCGAATCCCCAGCCCGGGCCCGCCAAACAACGATGGCTGCAACCAAAAAATGGCCAGGCGTTGTGGCGGGCGCCTGTGGTCCCAGCTACTTGGGAGGCTGAGGCAGGAGACTCGCTTGAGCCCAGGAGTTGGAGGTTGCTGTGAGCTGTGATGCCATGACACTCTACCCAGGGGGATAGCTTGAGGCTCCGTCTCAAAAAAAAAAAAAAAAATTTTGTAATGTAAGGAAACAAATACATGTATTTGAACAATTAACAAGAAGATTGTCACTACCCACTTTCAGTGCCCAATTTCAGCATCAACATGAGTCAAGTAGAGATCACATACAATTTTGGCTGTCATAGATATCATCATCTATGAGAGCCAATTATCTTCAGCTTAAATCCATCAAGCCTTTAAATTTTAATCTGTAGGAAATATATAGGATGAAACAACCTAAAGATATGAGAGAATAAACTAGACAAAATAAAGTCTGTAGGACAAGACCCAGTTTCTTTTCAACAAGTGCCTTTAGGGGGAAAAAAAAAGCAAGGAGGATAGATGGCTGTCCTTGATTTTAAAGACAAATTTCCTAATAGTCAATTTCAAAGTACAATGCTGGATTGGATATTATTTTAGATAAAGCAGCCATAAAGGACATTTTTGAGCCAACTAGAAAAATTTTAATGTGATCTGAGTATTTCATGAGATGAGAATTCACTGAAATGAAAAGTTGATATAATTGACTAAAAAAAGAGATTCAAAGCAGAATGTACAGTGTAACAGATAAAAAATATGTATACATGCATACAGGCATATATGTAGACAAAAAGATTATAAACTAACATACTAAAAGTAATAACTTGTAGGTGGTGAGAATCTAGTTTCCCCCTCATTTTTACTTTTGTTTTCTATTTTTGTTACAATACACCTGCACCATTTCTGTAACAGATTTTAAAAGTTATGTCCTTTATAATTATATCCAAGTCTATTTACTAAATGTGATGACAAAATATTATCTTGCCCTGAAGAATCAACTCTGTGTAATTTTTAAAAGTGCTAAATTCCTACCAAAAAAAAAAACTTAAAGCACCTAAGATTTAAATAACATTTATTATGTCCCAGGAACAATTTTTGCCACTTCAAGTACACATAAAACTCACTCTAAACCTCAAAGTATTATTATAAAGATCCCCCCCAAACTATTATGATTATCATTTTAACAACACAAATGTTAGTTGCCATGTTTTGTTTTGAGACAGAGTCTCAAGCTGTCGCCCTGGGTAGAGTGCTGTAGTGTCACAGCTCACAGCAACTTCAAACTCCTGGGCCCAAGTGATTCTCTTGCCTCAGACTCCCAAGTAACTGGGACTACAGGCACCTGCTGCAACACTCAGCTATTTTTTGGCCTAGGATAGATCTGAACCTGCCAACTCAGATATATATGGCTGGCGCCATAGCTGCCTGAGCTATAGGCACTGAGCCAAGCCATGTTAGTCTCATATAAAAAAGCAACTTCACCTAAAAATGTAGCTCTTGTCCAATTATCAAAATATTTGGGGATATTATGTCCATTCGTGAAAAAAATAGAAGAGAGCAAAGCAATGCAATCCTTTATTTTGAGATAGAGACTCACTATGTCGCCCTCTGTAGAGTGCAGTAATGTCATAGCTCACAGCAACCTCAAACTCCTGGGCTTAAGCGCTTCTTTTGCCTCAGCCTCCCGAGTAGCTGGGACTACAGGTGCCTGCCATGACGGCTGGCTATTTTTTTGTTGTAGCTGTCATCGTTTAGCTAGTTGGGTTCAAACCCGCCAGCCTGGGTGGGTGTATGTGGCTGGTGCT